GTACTCCATCTTTGATATGATTTAAATCAAATGCCTCGTCATTATAATTCGCTTCCGATAGCGAAGAAAGTGACAGAGGTTATTGAAAACGAAAAAAAATTTCGATTGACAAATTAGTCGGTATTCTCGACACAGCAATTATAGGACTTGAACAGCGGAACTTTGTAACTGAACAAGAAATTATGTCTTTTATTTATAGAATTAAAGAGAAATGTATTATCACATAAAAAACGAAGCACTTAAACAACTTACATTGAAAGAAATGTTTTAAAGTAAACAATAAATATTAAGCTTTTTTTTTTTTTTTTTTTTTTGTAAATTTTGATACCCTTTAGATCATAATTGTTCTTATTTCGTAAAATTACGGTTTTATATTTTTAATTTTATAATTTCTGCATGCCATTTTACCAGATTTAAACTGATGATCTATAATCCGGAATCGCCGAAGTCCCGACGAGTCCGGATTAACGACTTTTGACTGTATATAAAGATTCTTACCAGCATGGTTTGCATAGCTCAGTCCGGTCACCCTTGCACTAATTATTGCATCCCTCTTATAAAAGTATCGATTGTTCTACCGTTTTTGCCCTTCTGCCTTTCATTTAATATAGAATAGGATTCCATTAAAAATTATAGGAAACAGCTCCACTAGCATGGTAGAAGTGGGTATTTGCGACATAAACAACCAGCTACTGAGGATGCAGATCACAGCTTAACTAACAAGTCCATGATGGCAGGTGGCTCTGAAATTACTTACTATTACTTTATGCTAAGTAACTGACTACAGTGTAAAAATGGATCTTGTAAGTGTGCACATGTCCTCTGTTAACAACTTCTGCAAGTTACGACCTCCCATTTCACGCCATAGGCATTCCACGAACAGCCTAATTTTTATATAGCTTGTGAAACTTGGTGTAATGATATATTCTTGCCATTAATCTCATTTTGAAAAAAAGTCACATAATTGCATTTTACATCCACCAGTTCAATTAATGTGATCTTGTAGCATTTTAGCAATAAACAGACTTGATAATCAATGTTAAATTCAGAATGGATACCTTTGTTTCTCTGAGAAACAAACCCTGGAATAAAAGTAGAGACATTTAAGGCAAGAATAGCCAAGAAAATTAATTATGAACAGGAAATTTTTTTATTCCCTGAGTACTATTAGTGATCTTGTAGCATTTTAGCAATAAACAGACTTGATAATCAATTTTAAATTCAGAATGGATACCTTTGTTTCTCTGAGAAACAAACCCTTGAATAAAAGTAGAGACATTTAAGGCAAGAATAGCCAAGAAAATTAATTATGAACAGGAAATTTTTTTATTCCCTGAGTACTATTAGTGGTCATCCTATAATATCTGCTATTTCAGCATTGACAGTTTTAGTTACCCATGATTTATAAGAGGTTGGGGAAAGGGTACCAATTTATGTTTCTAAATGTGTTCCGAGTGTCAATAGTTTATTATAATGAAATATTAAGATAAAAATTCATCAACAAACCTTCCAGAGTTTCATTACCAAACATATGAGATGAAAATAGCCACTTCGTTTACCATAAATTTACAGATCAACACTTGGACTTAAGGACATTTTTCATCATCATAACCTTGGACGTGAGGCTTGCATCATACATACCTGCCAACTTTTACGAATTTTTCGTAATTTTTACGAAAATGAGTTTGCCTTTACGATTTTATGATCGCAATCCTTTTTTTTTTTTTTTTTCTTTTTTCAAGTGTTTTTAGTGATTTTTGTCGAAATTTTAGAATTTTTCGCCAATTCAGTGATTTTCGCCAATTGCATCGTGTTTTACCGCCAACTATCGACTACTTCGAATACAGTAACCTGCGGTTTCTCCCAACTCGCCACTTAACCGACCAATCCAATGCGCTGAACTTGTTTCTCCCACTCTTTTCTTTGTGGGCGCCAGATTATTTTTTTCGCGTTTCGCTTCAGCAGCAAGGCAATTACTGAGCTCGGACTCAGCGAGCATGGATTGTCGAATTCTTTTTTTTTTTTTTGTTTGCACGTGCTACGAATTTTCTTAATACGTCGTTGTTACGAAATGAGTTAAAAGAAACCGTATTCTCAATATTTCGGCCTGCCTACAAAGCCGAATTTCCAACAATTAAAGAATCCTTCAAAGGAATAACTATGCATTTTGCAACGTGTGCGTGTGTGACTTCATAATAAGTCACGGTGGAAGAAGCGCCATTGTGAAGCATGTTAAGTCTAAAAAGACATGAAGTTAATGCTTCGGCTTCGACAACGTCAAAGAAAGTGGATGATTTTTTTTTCAAATTCGGCTACGAATTCGGATGCCGTCATCGCAGAACAGTGGAGATTGATGTTTCAAATTTTCGCGAATCGATGAGACTAGCAAGAGTTTTATGTGCTATTCTCGTAATTCCACACAGTAATGCTGAGTGCGAGAGAGTCTTCAGTGTTGTGAAGAAAAACAAAACTATGTTTCGTTCTTCAATTTCACCAAAAACTCTAGAAAACATTTTAATTGCTAAATGTTATGAGGAAACTAATTGTTATGACAGGAAATTTTCCAAAGAATTTTTGGCTAAAGCCAAAAAATGCACTCTAAATTCATTGCAATAATTTTTTTTGTGTAACATTAAGTTCTTGTTTTATGTTTCCTAATAAATTTTTTAGTTACTACTTAATTGAGATTTACTAATGTAAGTACAATTTTCTTTTTTCTATTTGTATAAATTGTTATTTTTTTAATATCAAAGCATGATATTAATTCTTCGTGTTCTTCTGAATTTTGGAGAAATCTTCTGAATTTTTATCTTTAGAGGTTGGCAGGTATGATCATATAGATATGGGGTCATGGTTAGACCTTTTTCCTCTATGTTTTCATACCTACTCTCTTTCATTAAAATTTTCTTCATAATGCCCATACTGTTTTCCTCTATGTTTTCATACCTACTCTCTTTCATTAAAATTTTCTTCATAATGCCCATACATTCTTTCTCATTAATGATGCTTTAATCATTTTATTTTCAACTAGTAGGCTATAAAAAAAATTAGGGGGGGGGAGGCTTCCATCTCTTGAAATAGTACATTGTCTTGTACATTCAGGCTTTAAATTCAGTTGAAAACAGTTCTGCTACTTCTTAGCTTTAGAGGGGAAAATGCAATTCTATCTGGCACCCCAAATAATACAGAGTCTGAAATTTTATGTTACTATTTAATTATCTGAGTATTATTTATTAGTTTACATTTTATTTATTTTTATCTTTCCTTTCAGTCTTTCATAAAGCTCTGGCACTTCTAATATTAGGAATTAGCTTTCTTATAATGAAAAGTCATAAGCATAATCTTAATAATCTGACTAGGCAAATCTTTCATGCTTCTTTCTTTCATCTGTAACAGAATGCTCCAACTAAATGCAGATAATACAGTGGATTGATTTGTTTCCAAAGAGACTTGAAATCAGGCTCTAGCCTAAATACTTGGAATTCAAATCCAGAACATTTTAGCAAGTATGCTACTTATGTGAGTTACTTTCACTAAACTAGCACACAGCTTTACGTAATTTCCAGTTATGGATGATATTTTCCAACTCTGATTTGGAAATCTTAACTATCAACTTTAGGGTTAAAATAATACAACATATAACACACAATAAAGATTCATATTTGTAATCAATAGGTTTGGTTTCTTTTATTATGGCAAAGCCTCAAGGACTACCTGCCTAAGAGGAGAGATACCTTCGTGGAGGACTTTCTAAGGGACACTGGCTCATATACACGTTACACATGGGAAAAACCATGAAAACGTCCATGCAGCCAGTCTATCTGCGGGATTCCAACCTCGGACCGAACTATCCCTAGGCCACTCATGGGCCTCTGTAATCAACAGACAGATTTACGAGATTGTCTATACTGAAATTGCAAAGGATTCCTCCCCCTTAGAACCTCTAAATTATTAATTAATTTATAAAAATAATAAACAACCTAAACAAGAAACCTTCAGAAATTCAAGTGAGATAACTCTCCACTTCATTAAGCTGTCAGTGATATTTATTAAATTTTAAATCTATCGTTATAAAAAATTTTATACAAGAAATAATTTCTAAATTATTTTCTAATATTATATCAAATAGTATTTGGAAAAATACTCATTATTAATAAAAGATATATTTTAAATCTAAGAAAAAAATCTAACGATATGGTATCATTTTGTTCTTCTTTTTTTTTTTTATTTTTATTTTTTTTTAACTAAAATTTCATTAAAACAAAAGATTAAGACTAATCTCCAAGTGGGGACTCTTATAACTAGTATCTTCTGTTGCTTACTGATAAATTTAATCCTAACTGTTAAATAACATTGAAACTTAACTAAAAAAAATGGAATTTCGAGAATTCTAGCATTTGCTCTTCCACTTTTTTAAACATAAAATGATGTTATTATTAGTATATTTTTTAAAGGGATATAATCCATACATTAATATAAAAGTTCATTGTCATTTATTTTTGATACAGACAGCAGTTTTTACAAGAATTAAAGTTAAAAATTCTGCATTAGATATGTATGTTCTTAGAATTATATTTTATTTACTATTATAAATGTATGAAATTAAAGTTGTAAAATGTTATATAGGAATCCAAATAAAATTAACTTTTAAGTTATTCACTTTGCACTGCTGATGAGTAATTCCATTTTATAACTTGGAAGATAATAGAAAACGTTGGGCCTCATTGATTGATAACAATTTCCAATATTCATGATAGACAGACAAAAAATTAGTAGAAATAATACCTCTCCAAAGTGTCGCATACACATCAGAATTTGATATGATATACAAGAAAATTAAAGAATCATAATTTGCTTCATAGGACTATTTTACATTAAAATATTCTGATGCAAACTGACAATTATTTCAAAAGCATTCAATTAATTTCACATAATAAGCCAACTACAGATATTAACATTAATATTGAATTAAATTAGTTCAGAATCAAAAAAACATAAACTACACGGTGAACCAAATATTTAATTAGAAGCATTTAATTGCCATTCTATCATTAATATACATCACAATGATAGAATTTACACTAGTCTTCAAGTACTTTTATTTTTGAAATTTCATCTAAAATGTAAAGTTATTGTAGATTTCTGACTAATCTAAGTGCTAATTTTAATTACTTTCCTTTCCTTTATTTTCAATGGCACAGGCATTAGCAATTTCCAGCAACTGTTCTGTTGCAGATGGCCAAAATGAGGATGTTTTGGATAATTCCTCGTTCGGGAACTCGGTTATGTTTAACCACGTTGGTTTATTAGTAAATGGAGTCCATACGCCCTGGATAGAAGGAGTATCTGTATGCTGATTTTTGATAAATCGAGAAATTGGAAAGCCAGACTGAGTTAATGCAAATTCAACCCACTTTACAATTTCATCTCTAGGGTTTGAAGGAAATGAGCGATACTGAGTATGGCCATTCAGATATTCAGCTGTAATACTGGGTGGGCCAAGGCGCCGAGGTTGAAGATACACAACAACACCAGGATTAGCTTTCACAAAGCCGTTTAAGTCTTTTTCAATGTATTCCCGTACACCTCTGCTATTTCCATGAGATTTCGAAAATTTGAAAGTTATACGTTGCAACTGACAAACGTATCTTCCAATGCCGTTATGTAGGACACTTTTGATGTAAGTACTAGGATTCACTATGTTAGACATAATTTAAAATTTTCTTGAGACAAAAATGATATCGTATTTGAAAGCCAAAAAAGTAAATTTCAATAACATCTAAACACAATGCACCTAATTAGAAGTCTTTCTGCCCGGGAGTAAAAGTAAATAACACGGTCGGACAGTTAAGTTAGTAGTGGTTAGTAGCTTGCTTGGGCGTAGAAATTGAATTATAAGAATTGTTTTAACTGTATCAGATGTGTAACGTTTTTCTATAGCATTCGAATTTTAATGAATATATTTCGAATTTTTACGTATTTTTGCCTTGCCTCGAAGTACATTCAACAAGAGATCAGAGATCATCATTCGTTGTGTTCGACCAAAGGCAACTAGATATCTACACGCAGTGGCTAATCGCACCGACGGTGCGAAAAGCTAACAGGCTATTCACACCGGTCAGCGCTAAATCCCCAAAAGATGATGTCACGTCAAAGATACGCCCCTTACGCTCAGTAAATTTCGGCCGATGCTATTCGCACCACCGGTGCGATTAGCCGCTTAAGCTATTCGCACCCCAAGGTCGGTAGAAACCTTTCTACGGACCTTAATTCGCACAGGCCAACTGGATATCTACAGGCCTGCTCCAAGCTGATGATCACATGATATGACGTCAAATCTTAGGCTTTCAATTTTGTTAGTAGCTTGCTTCGCTCATAGGCTAGTGCTAGTGAGATCAGTTTACATGTGTTTTTCTTTGAAAAATTTTGTATTTTCGGAAAGTACAATATTATATTGTGAATTCGAATTATAAGAAAAGTGTTTTAGAAGCCAAGAAAGTGTAGTGTACCTAAATGCCGATCAAATTAGGATAGCACTACTGAACATGTGTCCACTTTCAAATTTCCTTCGGATCCTGTACTCTCTCAGAAATGATAAAAAATATTAATCGCAAGATTTTGTAGTGGAAAACCACAGTAGTGTCTGCATAAGCATTCGAAGAGAATTTATCGTTCGAGAAGATAGCTGTTCGGATGATGAGACGGCCAGTAGTTCCTAGAACTATTCCAGCTTTAAAAAGATAACTTATCCAACGATTTTCAAAACCAGCCATCTTATTTATCGAAGAAACTTCCACAAAAAAAAAAAAAAACGGGAAGAAAGAGAAGCAGAAATGATATCGTTGTGATAAACAATTTGAACAGTGGAAAAGAATTATATTATTAGCGATTTTGAAAACCCAATAAATGGTTTTGCAAAAAAAAAAATAATTTCCCTCTTCATGGATATCATACCAAGGTAAGATTTTTGGCTATCAAACATTAGAATTTTAAACTGTCCAAAAGTGCTTGTATCTTAAAAATATTGGAGATTTAAATGTAAGAGGTTTTTCAATGAAAATGAAATTCCCATTGAATAGTTCAATTGGATATTTGAGAAGAAAAGCTATGTGATAAATGGTCTAAACTTGAGACAATGATTAGCCATTGGATGTTTCTGCTTCTGATATTCATGATGACGCAATTTAAATTTAGATAAATATCAAAACTACTGTTGAAATGTGCAGAAACAGAAAATAATCCACATTCTGGGAAATTTCAATTTTTGTATGAACAGATTCAATTAACTCAAATGAAACAGTCTTCCTATAGTGCAGAATTCCTTGCCTAGTCTTGTTAGATATTTTATTGTAATCCAAATAGCTACAATATTATACGTAACAGTAAATATTTTATATTGCCTCATCCGTCATACTTAAGGAAGTTATCTCTAAGAATTGGTCGAGCAGATTCTGTATTACAAACAAGTCACTGGACGTATTAAAAAAAATGTGAAATTTTAAATGATTCTAAAAAATTGTCAATTTATTATTAGATGGGATATATATAAAACCACAAGTTTCGTAAAAAAAGTGGTCGTGTTTTAGATTTTTCGGATAATTCACAGATGGAGGCCACAACTCTGCAAACATTTATGTAAGCTCTATATTATCAAAAAACAGAGATATTGTAGCAATGGTTCCCATTAAAAAACTTATCATAACACAATTATAATTTAAAAACAAGTAATTGACCATGTACAGTCTTGTGGCTATCGAATTATAACTCTAATATCAGACAATAATAGAATTAACAGAAATATGTTCGAAATGCTTGTGTGTGGTGCATATAAAAAATCCTCATTTATAACCCTACCATGATAATCTTCCTAGATTTATTTTGATATAGTCATTTATGAAATCTATACGAAACAACGTTCAATCAGAAAGATTCAACCAAACATTATACCGTCATTGAAAATCAATATTGTTACAATTCCATGTTCACATTTAAAAAAATTGTATAAAAAGAAAAAAATGATAATATTAAAATGGCTCCCATTTTCAGAAAAGTTTATTTCCGTCTTTATAGAGAAGCAGAATGTAAGTACTGCTATTAAATTTTGATGAAAAGACTTTAGCTGCTCTGCAAATTGAATCAGAATAATAGAACTGGTATGGAAAAGATGTCTTAGGAACTAAGTATTTTATTAATATAATTTTAAAGTGGTGGAAAATGTGAAGTTAAACACTCTAAAAGGCCGTAAGTTTTGAGATGTAGTTATGCGCTATAAAGGACACCAGAAGATAAAAGTAGAATATTATCACAGTTGTTCGGGCTGATATCGGAACGATTTTTGCCCACAACAAAAAAAACGAGTCCAAATTGGTAAACTGTCAAAGAAACCCAGTTGTCTTCTCCATACAACAGAACATTGAATGAACTTTCAAAGTATTGTTAAAAGAATTTAAATTACTTTTATCTTTTAGAAATTCAGAAGATAACCTTGAGGACGTTTCGGCAATTTCGACAAATGAGTGGCTGTAATTATAATGATCATTACAGCAGATATAGGTCGGAAAGAAACTAAAAATTAGTTTGCTAAAATGCAGTCTTCTGAGAAGGTAATTTATTTTACAACATTTTCTGTAATGATATTAAGATTTAATGATTATCAACTTATTGTAAGGAATGTGATGTTTGCGCATCAATGATGTTAAGTTACAGAAAAAGATATAATGTGTCTATTTACATTTTCTGGATATGTTTGTAGATCTGTTTGAAGCATAAATTGTATCTTGCAAGAAAAAATTAATCTGACAAAGATATAGTTGAATATAGTGAGATTTTGCATACTTAGTGATATTGAGCGAGTGGTTTTTTGCCAACGAATTTGTGCTTTTCATTAATACCTGAATTAGAATATTATCATCCTAAATTGAAATGTATGAGAATTATATATTCATAAAAATCACGTTCTATATAAGAGTCATCAAGAGAAAGTTGAAAAAGTTATTGGGATGATAGTATTGTGAGTGAGGCAAATCATGCATGATTTTGAAAAGTTGTGCCTGCATGTCCAATATATTGTGAATAATTACTGAAGGTTAAAAATAACAATTTAAAGGAAACCATGACAAAAAAAAAATGAGTAAATAAATAATCTGGAATTAGGTGAATTTTTTACTTTTAAAGTAAATAATTAGTATTCAAACTGTGTATATTGGCCATGGTTATATTGAAATTATGATCGCGAAAAGTATAACCCTTTCCAAGATGAATTTATGTAAAATAAATAAATATCCAAAAGGAAAGATATGGTTCAATTAGATAAGCTTTAAGAAAACAATTGTAGATCATGATTTAAAAGCAATTTTGACAAACCTAAAGCAGAAGAAAAGACGAGCGAGAACAATGAAAAAAGATTATGTAGTATGATGTATGAAATGATAGAAGAACTAAATTCAATAGAGGCTCATGAAGTCTGGAAATTAGTGAAAGATCCATCATAAGAAAATTACGATTTTTACAAAAACTACAAAATAAGATTTTTGATGTAAAAACTGCCTATTTAAATGGATACTTGAATAAACCATTACATGGAACAACACCTGGATTTAAATCAGATTCAGACTGTCAAGCATTAATAGATTGGATAAAAATACCAAAACAAAGTAGTAGTTCAAGGCACATTAATCGAAATCCTTTGCCATAAGCCAAATTAACTAGCTAAATCATGTCTATTTTTGTAGACCTCAAATCAGGGGCTACAATGTTAATCTGTTTTGGCATTGATATTTGAAAAATTTGAATGGCGAACTTCTTGTTTATGTGAATTAATGATGTTTAACTTTATAATTAATATCTTACAGCATTGAAATGATTTGCAGGATTTTTCTTTGCTTAATACTGCATGCATCTTTTACTATTTGTCTATTATTAAATAAATGTACAGTGTATTTTTAATCAGATGTTCTCCTTCATTAAGAATTTTTTATAGCATGATACGGTGCTCATTTGGGTAGATTCCATAGTTATGATCTCACTTTATTTCGGGAATTTTATAGATTATTTGGAGAGGCTACAGATTTCTCGGCTAATCTTTGGAATATGTAACAGGTAGTTTGGCGACATTGGTTGGCGATAAAGGTTATAGTAGGACTTAGCAGTGTACGTGGATAAAGTCAAGCGTGTGGCTGCCATTTGTGCAATTCTGGGAGTTTTTTTAATGAAAATGGCCGAATGTAAGGATAGTGCAGGCTATTCTTAAAATGCGGCAGCAGTGGCGTTTGCACTTTCTCCAATTTCGCACCTAATCTTCGTCAGATTAAGCACTTTGTCATAAAGTTTCATATAAGGTAATTAAATGTTGAGTAAAAAAAAAAAAAAAATCCTTTACTCGAGAAACAAAATGGATCCAACAAAACTAGTAGGTGCTGTTAGCGGGGTTGGTCGCAAAAAAGCAGTACATAAGCAAAGATTAACGATTTCTCGTATAATGTTCAGCTTAAAACATCTTTAAAATAAAACTTTTTTCCTATATACAGTCAAAAGTCTTTAATCCGGACTCGGGACTTCGGCGATTCCAGATTATCGAGTTTTACGGATTATAGATCATCAGTTTAAATATAGTAAGATGGCATGCAGAAATTATACAATTAAAAATGTGAAATTGTAATTTATGAAATAGAGAGCAATTGTGATCTAAAGGGTATCAAAATTTACAAAAAAAAGTTTAATTTATGTTTACTTATTAAATTTCTTTCAATGAAGTTGTTAATTGCTTCGTTTTATGTGATAATATTTTCTTTAATTCTATAAAAAGACACATCT